AGTCCAGTCTGGACTGGTCAGGTCCAGGCTGGGTGAAGGTAAAGTGAGCTGGGCTCCTGTTTGGTTATGGGGAAGGTCCTCCAGCCAGTCAGGAAAACAGCACTTATTGAGGCCTCTGTCTGTGTTATTGTAGGACTACAGGAAGAAGGGGGGAGAGTATAGGAGGGGTCTGCAAAAAAGAGAAGGGGAGTAAAGTCTGAAAGAGGGAAATCCATGGAAAGAGATGGAAGGGTTAAAGAAAACAGAATGTAGCAGAAAAAACGTAAAACAATCAAAGAAATCTGAAGAGTCGATCACTCTAAAAGATTAAAGGTTTCATATCATGCTATTATAAAACTTTTAGAGCAAAGGTATGCACAATATATAATAAAAGATTACCATTGGCAGTGGCACTAATGAGAACTACTTTCTACTGGATGCAGGAAAAACCTAGCCTAGTGAACTAGACCAAATTCTTGCTTTGCAAAGAATGGTCTAGGCATGCTCCATTGGAACCTCAGCAGCTCCTACCAGGACTCTGGCTAGCCAATCACAGCTCTCTAGAGAGGTTTCAAACACATAAAGAGCTGTGATTGGTCCATAATGGTAGGCCAATCATAGTGCCCTATCTGCTTAGTGAACAAATCACAGAGCTTTATCCGCTTTGTGGGCCAATCAGGGCACTCTATATGCCTGGTGGGTGGGATGATGCAACAGAGTGAAACAAGAGTATGTCACATTCATTGTCCAATAGCATGCGGAGATCATTTGAAAGACAACGGTAGAACCCGCCCCACAACCGAGAGCCGTCAATGGAGCGTGGCCAGACTAAATAATACATTTATTTAGTCTGGCTTGCCAGGCTAGGAAAAACCTTTACATCAACTAAATTGAAGCTGAGGCAGGAAAATGTATGAATTCAGCCAGAACGGGTTTGGGATCATGAGGAAATGACAATTTAACATGGTAAAAAGTTCCAACGAGTGGATTCTCCATGATATGTCCCCATAAAAAACAGGGAGACATATAACGCACAACTACAGATATTTTAGCAGATTTTTTTTTTATTTGTCAAATGTCTCTTTTATTTTCTTCTGACCAGATACAGGAGGGCAGCCTCTGATTGCCCCATATTGGATTTGATATGATTGTTAAATAATTTATTTATATAATGGTGAGAAAAATAAATATTTCATCAATGACAGAAGTTCAACTCAATACTCAATACTACTACTACTACTAGTTTTTTTTACCATTATTAACCTTTGTTACTGTGGTCCCCCCCTCTCTTAACTCATTCACTGCCATTGACGATTAAAGTCGTCATTCTAAATCCAACCGCTTGCTGCCATTGACTGAAGTCGTCAATGGCGTTTTTTAACGGGGCAGGCCTGGGAATGAGCTCGCCCACCTTGAGAGTAAACATCACGGCTCTACAGTTGATTTTCATCCGTGTGTCACACGTCACGTGATCAGGAGATCGGGGCTTTAAAGAAGTAGTAACAGGTCTGTGAGGGCTAGAGTTCTTGTTTGTTTGTAGGTGCAACACACTCTGCATCATTACACAAACCATCGTTATACAAATAAATTCTTTAAAACTGTACAATGGGATTTCCTGGATTTTTTCACATTCTGCCCCTCACAGCTGGAATGTGGTAGCCTAGTGAACTAGACCAAATTCTTGCTTTGCCACAGCTGCCCTGGGGCGCTCTGATAGAAAGACGGACATTGTGTGATTACAATACGTAAGTATAAAATAACAAAAGATTTAACCTCACACCCCCAAATCCTGTTAGAATTTGACCTTTTGGGGTTTGATTCTTTTAAAGGACCAATTAAGGGCGTCCTGTCGGCTCACTTCAACCTGCGTGGCAGTAAGGAAATAATTAGGTTTGTTCGGAGAATAAGCTAACATGAAAATACCTTCTTTTAATGGGATCGAAAAAAGCCCTGACAGCCGAGGAAGGGGATGATATTAAGAAGTCGCTGGACTTTTTGTCGGAGGAGATGACAGTTGTCAAACTGCAACAGAAGGCCATCCTGAACCTGGTAGAGGAGGTTAAAGCTCTCCGCATCCAAAACGCTGAAAAAGATCGGCGTCTGGCGTTCCTGGAGAGCAGGGTAGCTGACCTGGAGCAGTACACCAGGATCAACGATGTGGTCATCACCGGGCTTCACGTTAAACCCCCGGTCATACGCTCAGGCGGCGACCGCTGACGGGGGAGGATACCAGCGCGGAGTCCGCCAGCTCCGTGGAAGAACTGGTTTTCTCCTTCCTCAAATCCAAAAGTATCCTGGTGGGCGGTAATAATATCGAGGCCTGCCACCCTCTTGTCCGGAAAAATGATGGAAATCAATCTGTCGTGTACAGACAGATTGATTTCCATCAACACAGCTGGAGTTTACTCGTTGGATCGCACATGGGACTGCGTCATCGGAGAGGGGAGAGCGGGCAGCAGAGGGCGACAACGTCCTCTGCTGCCCGCGGATAAACGAAGGAAGTGACGCCACCATCGGCGTCAGCCTGATGACGTTTGCAGCCGCAGACGAAATGTTGCAAGTAATTAAACCTTTTCTGTGTTTTAAAAAGAACTGAAGGATGGAAGTTAAGAGGGGAGCTAAAATTCAAACATTAAAAACTTTTAGTGTGTCTGTGTGCGGTGTGAAACTGTGGAACAGAATGAGTGATGAACTGAGGCAATGTTCAAACGTGATGCTGTTTAAAAAAAGGCTTCAACTCATGATGTTTACCAAATACAAGGAAGAAGAAGGTCCAAAAATGTGTGCCTAAACACAAAATGTTTGTATTTATGATACGATCGTGATAAACCATGTGCCATTTGTGTGAATATGTTGCAAAGCAACTTGCCAAAAACTACCAGACAACATTAAATAACTATTAGTTATTTGATGTTGAGAAAGGGGTGGGATTAAATAAGCTGATGCTTCTTCCTACTCCCTTTTGAGCATGTGTAAAAAAAACGAGAAGGAGAAGTTACTTATGTTGTGTGTATTACTATGTGTATGTATGCATGTTCAAAATAAAGACAAAGACAACATTTTGTAAAGCTGTTGTAACTTTTCCATATTTTTCATTTGCGATAAAAAGATGCGAGTAGGTCTGGCTCATTTCTGAGGAGAGTCTGCTTGGACTGGTCCACTTCATCCGCTCTGCTGCCAGTTTTGTGATGTTTTATATTTTCTCTGATCATTTGTAACAGAAGGGAAGAATCTCAGACATTTCCTTTAATTTCCTATTTAAGTGAACTTGCTAATGTTTGGTCACATTTCTGATCCTGTTTAGCCAAGGAGAAAGAAGCTATTTTCTCCTGTTTTCCTTCTCACACGCACACACACACGCAAACACACACGTGCCCACGGGATATTGATGTTGTTTGACAGCCTGCTAAGGTTAACCCTCAGGCTGTGTGATGGCTTCACTGCAGGGTGTTGCTGCGGAGATGGACAGAAATTCTTCATCCACACAAACTAAAGACGTGTCCGTGTGTGTGAAGGTGTTTGTGGTCATGTGTGGGAGGAGTTGGTTTGTTAGCAAGTGGAAAGGTCCCGCTCTTCCTGAAATCTTGTTTCCTGCAGAGGATGAGGAGAGGTAACCTGGAAAACGGTGGAGGTTAGAAATGGGTGATGCTGCAGACACAGACATTTCACAATGTTGTATAAAAATAATCATTAAATTTGCAAATGATATACTTTTGGGTTCATTTCAGTTCCAGATGTATTCTACTCTCCTTGAAATCTGCCTGAAATGCTTTAAATTCTAATTAAATCTGCTTTAAATCCATAATTTCTTAACTATCTTCTTTAGAAAATATTCAGTCATTTTTTTTCCACATTTTTCTGTGATTGAATTTGTAAAACAGTTTTGAATGATTTAGCCCCTCAGTCACTGCGGTACAAGAACAAGTGGAAGCATGGATCTGATGCTGTGGGTGATAAATGCACATTTTATTTTGGTTTATTTCCTAAATGTACGTCCTTGCTTTTAAATATTATCCACTACCACCTTTCAGAGGGATAGAAAATTACCTCTTGTTTGCTCTGTTGCACAAAATACCTTTTTGAGGAAGAAATTGTTTTAGGACACAAGATCAAACTGAAGCGTCATTTTACTTGAGTACTTTCCTTTTAGGTGTTTTCTGTATTTTCACTAGCCTGGCCTGCCAGACTCCTCCTATGTTTAATTCTGCTCAGAGACAGGGTCTGGGAACTCTCCTATTCAAATAACCCCACCCCCTGAGAATTCTAACCGAGCCAATCAGCGCTGAGTAACGTACGTCACACACCACAACGCCGAGTTTGTCGAACATGGCGACTGAACCGGAGTTCGCTGCGGCTCTTTCCTCTGTTCTAAATGACTTGGACACGTCTTTAAAACAACAACAAGTATAATTTTTCTTCTAAAAAAAGAATAGAAGATGTTTGCACCGTTGCCAGACGCCTTTTATTACTACAGCTAAAAAAACTACAGCGTCGCGCCGTACAGTCAGTATTTCTGTCATTTTTCTGATTGGTTATTTTTGCTCTGCCTAGTCCCGCCCCTCAAGTCCCTCTCTGCCTGTGAGTCTCTCTGTGCAGAATTAAACAGAGGACGAGTAAAAAATAGTTGTAAACTTACAAAAAATGCTATTGTTAATATCTTTCAAAATACATTTTGTTTTTATTCCCTTAAGACAGTAAGAATTGTAAAATGCACATTTTAATATTATGATTTTTTTTTTGTAAAGTTTTGCAGGTTTTTCACCAGTTAGTTTTGTCTCGTGGTTAAAGGGTTAGTAGAATACTGTGTATTTCTAATTTGAAGCTGTTCTTTGAGCATCTATATGGCATATTGTTGGGGCTCATAATTGCCCATCCTGATGGTTAAAACTAGACATTGTGTTTGTCAAACCTAATGCTAAAAGATACGTATATGATTTCTCTTCAATATGCAAATTAGTGTCTGACATCATCATGCAACAAAGAATCATTTTCAGTCTGAGGCTTCTTCAAACAACAAAACGACGTGATCAGATTTTAATAACACCATTTTAGTCCAAAGACAACTGGCACATTTAAACAACAACAAATATCAAAAAGCATTTTAAAAGCCTTCATAATAAACAGGGTTGATATTTTTTTTTCACCTCTCTTAGTTTTCGTCAGTCACCTCCTCCAAAATTACTCAGAACATTTATTTCCTTTCAGGCACAAATGTGACCAGAAAGGCACCAAAAGCCCTCCACATTCATATAATGTAACCATTTATTATATTTAGTTTTTAATGTTTAGATTCATCAAGTTTTTCTATCGAGGAAATATTGGTGGGTTTTTTTAATGATACGATAATAAAAAAAAAAGGTATGATGGCACAAAACATGAATATAATAAACACGTTTAGATTTCTTATATTATACATTTTGGTTCAGATCTTTTTGAAACAGCTTGATGTTGCAGAGCCACAAACAAACTCAAACAGCACACACCAGCCAATCATAAATAGGCGTATGCTATAGCCCCATAATCCTCCTCTTCATCTCGGTCATGAGATATGTGATCCATGAGAGCTTAAGTGGGATCAGCATCACAAAGGCCAAATGTATTTACCAGCACGTCTCAAACAGACATCACGTCTACTGTTTAGATACAAAGAGACTGGAAAACACAGGAAGCAAAAAGCTGCTTCACACGGTGCTGTAAACAATTATTCACCCATAGTTCTTAAAGGAGTTGAACACTTGTTTAATCAATACATTTGCAGTGGTCTCTAGTAGGAATGAATAACTTGTGAGTTGTACTCCGGGGGGAAAAAAGCTCAGATGAGCCTGAATCAGGAAGTACTTGTCAGCTGGAGGAGAAGGTTCAGACGACAGGATTTGGAGTCTTATTTTTATTTTATTTCCTGATATTTGGACATCTCGTTTCTGATTGGATAACAGCAACACGACTCTATCACTAACTCTGTTTGCTTATAACGTTGATATTTTATCCCCACAAAAATCATAAGCCTGGAGGAGTTCTGCCATGTGGTGGAGTTGCGGTTAGCTACTAGCCGAGAGATTCTCTGCTGTTTCCTGGACTCTAAACCAGCAACAGCCTTCCCCGTCGCAAGTCAAGATAGGTGAGTCCATGAACGTTAAGAGACAGTGTGACGTAGATCTGTCAGGTTTTTAAAGCTTTTGAAATCCTAGAGTTTCACCATCTATTTTCTATCTGAAGCTAATTCAGGAGGTATGTGTAAGAGATTTTATTCATGCTCAGCCTGCATGACCGATAATAATCGGAAACAACTTAAAAAGCATTGGTGTTAATTGGTTACCGTTTTGTCCCCTTCTTCTTTACAGAATAGTTTTAATTCAGACATGCTGGAGGGTTTATTTGATTTTTTCAACACGAAGATCCTGTTTAAGGTCAAAGATCAGATGTTGTTCTACAGGTAGTTCTGCTAGGGAGCAGAAATCGTGTTTCTATCATTACAAGAGCTCTCCCAAACCATCTCACTGCCACCACCATGCTAGAATGTTCGTGATGCTTCAGTGTTTGTTTTACATTAGATGGGACACTCACCTTCCAGAAGGTTCTAGTTTTGTCTCATCAGTCCACAGAATATTTTCTCAAAAGTCTCGGGGTGTCACCTTTTTGGTAAATGTGAGACGTTTTGTTGTGTTCTTTTGGTCAGTAGATGTTTTGATCCAACTGGGCCTTTCCAATTTCCAAAACTGATTGTAGATCTTCTATTTTTAAGGAGTTTTGATGATTTTTTTTTTCAATGTTTGAAAAGGCACTTATGATAGAGAAAATATTCAGAAGCATGAATGTTTTGATGAACCTGGATTTCTAAATACTCCAAGATTTGTTCTTTTTCTGCATTTCAGTCTGTCTTTACTTTGTCTTCAGGAGCATCACCTGCTTGTTCTCCTTTCTGCAAACACTTAAAAACCCAGAGTTCATTTCCTACTGATCCTGTAGATCTGCGGGTGCAGCAGAGGAGGTGGTCACGGCTGTGGTGGTGGGTGGGTCGGAGGCGGTCATCTTAAAAGTCAGTGTGGCGTTAAACATGGTGGCTTCTGGGAGGGAGGAGGGAAGCTGGTATGTCGGTGTGGAGCGGTTCAGGTGTCCAGTTGTTTGAGAGCGGGGGAGCCGGTGGGGTGGGGTGAGACCTTTGACAAAAAGATTATTAAAAAAAGCTGAATGTAGTAAAGAAATAAAAAAATAACAGAAATGTTGAAATCAAAAGAAAATGGAACCCAAAAAGCAAAAAGCATTATCTGACCTAATTAACCCAAACTATCCGATTGGACATGTTTTCCTCAGGCTGTCTTTATACTTCAGCATAAGAGGTCACAAAACAAGTGATTTGATATTAAACTTACATATTTAGATTCTCAAAAAGTGGATTTAGCTCTGATACGGTTTCATAATGAAGAATATTTTTATATATTCAGCCAAAAGTCAGAGTAAAAGTTAGCAGAAACTCATCTTTAGTGTCTAATGCTGATATGACGTGAAATCAGCTTTGATAAAATAAGATATTTCATCATTACGTAATTATAAGGCTTTTTGGGGATGAATAAATGCTGGTTCAAGGTCAATTTCAGACAAAAATCAAATTTTTATTAAAAACTGGTCTCATGAATTAGACATGTTTTATGCTGGATGACAAATCTTAAATCTTTCGTTTAGAAAATTGAGAGCAGGTGAGTTAGTGAGTATGTGAAATAAAGCCATCAATTTAAAATGCTACTTCACTGGAAAAACTGTATCTCCTAGGTTCTGTCCGAGCAAGAACAGAACAGCTGTTTTTACCTTCATTTACCTATAAAACATCTTATCCCACTAAAAAATCTGAGCTGCAGAAATAAAGTAAAAGCATTTACTTCCACTGACTTGCTCCTTCTCTAAATTTCCTTTGATAACTCACTGAGGTGACAGATGTGTGGTTTTCTCCTGTATGCACTGAAAGCACCTGGTTTTAGCCATGCGCACTTCCCTCACCCCCATAATGAACCCCGTGTTTTTACCTGGCTGCTCTGAGGATCGTTGCAGACCTTGTTCCGAGGTGACAGCAGGATGCAGTCCTGGGCTGTGGTTTTCTCAGTGCGTGGAGCGCTGGGTTCTCCATCATCTACACCATTAGCAGCACATCTCATACTCCTCACACAGAGAACCTGCATTTGAATGTTTTCAGAAACAATCACGTTGCATCCTGTTTGCGCTGCTTTAACAATAAATTAGAGCTGTTTTAATTTGGTTTTTGCCATGCGTTTGTCTCACTTTGTCCTGAAATTGATCAAATTTGAAAATTCCAGAGCAAGGGTTTTTCTTTGTATTTTGATGTGTGAATGTGTGCGCTGCACCTAGTGGGTCTATGATGATATTTCAGTGTTTTTGTTGGAATGGGGATAAACTACCTTTCCAAAAGCTAATTGCACATACATAGAAAGTGCTCAGTTGTTGTTTTATTTCTGTCCTGCTCCGTGTCCTGTCTGGCTGTGAAGCAAACAGAATTAATGTCTGGATGCTGGTGACAGCCTTACAGATTTACTCTCAGGTGGAAGATCAAAGCTTCGGCTTTGATGTCACGCCTGATACTTCAAACTTTATTGTTATTGTTTTTTGAATGCTTTACAATTCCGACCAGAAACGGAGACAGAGGTGAAAGAGAGGAAGAGACGGGGGGGGGGGGGTCCACAAAAAATTAGCAATCAATGATGAACAAGAGTCTGCTTCTAGACCTGCAGAAGGAGAAAAACATACAAAAAAAATTTCAAAAAAGGGACACATAGGAGCAAACTATCACTGCATCAACCCGATGAGGAGATATAAAATCAACATTGTTTAACTGAACAAGCACACGATAATAACTCACAGTGCATTAAGTGCCAACCACAGCTTTAAGACATGTGTTGAAAATGCCCAAGTCCATACTTATGAGAGCACCATGTGAGCACCTGTGTGTGTACCCACGCTTGTATATGTAAGGTTTCTTTATAGGAGCGTCCAATAGTGTGAGGGGGCCACAGATCTGCCCCCAAAGATGTGTAGGAGATGGAAGGAGCTCCAAGTCCCAGAGATCCAGGAGCTGCCCCAGAGCACAGGGACCCCAGGGAGACTGTAACCAGAAAAGCCCCTGCTCCCCCTCGAGAGGTGCAGAGGATTGCCCCGGGGGGCCACAACCAGCAGCCAGCAGAGTCCCGGGAGATATCAGCGGCAAGCCCACAGGCCCACCCGCAGCCTCCCACCCCCAAGACGTCCGAGCCCGGAACTCAGCGACCCGGGACCCAAGGGTGACCAGCTCCGCCGGTGTCATGTTCTGTGCCCCTCTGGTCCCCAGCGCCCTCCTGTTCTCACTCCAGGTTCTCCTCCTGTGTCTCATTGTTCCCCAGTTCTCTCTAGGCTTTCCTCTTATTTCCTAAAGTCACTATCTGGTAGTTCCTATTTTATTTTGTACTAGTCCTCCTCATCCCTCTAGTTATTAGTTGTCTATATTTGCCCTTAGTCTTTAGGTTTAGTTATTCAGTGTTTTATAGGTCCCCCTGTTTAGTTTATTAATGCCACCTGTCTTCCCTCTAGATTTCACTCCTCACACCTGTCACCTGTTCCCCTGATTGCCTCCCTCTCTGTTTAAAAGCCCTGTCCTGTCTCTCAGTGTTTGTGGGTCCATTGTCTTGTGTCAGCGTTGTTTTTGGTCCCTCCCTGGTTGTCAGTAGGTCTGTGGTAAATGGTAATTGGTAAATGGCCTGTATTTGATGTAGCGCCTTGTAGAGCCCTGGAACCCCCCAAGGCGCTTTACAACACAATCAGTCATTCACCCATTCACACACACATTCACACACTGGTGGAGATGAGCTACAATGTAGCCACAGCTGCCCTGGGGCGCACTGACAGAGGCGAGGCTGCCGAGCACAGGCGCCACCTGTCCCTCCGACCACCACCAGCAGGCAACGTGGGTTAAGTGTCTTGCCCAAGGACACAACGACAGCGACAGACTGAGCGGGGCTCGAACCTGCAACCTTCCGATTACGGGGCGAGCACTTAACTCCTGTGGCACTGTCGCCCTGTGCTCTTAAATGAGCTTCTGTTTTGTTTTTACGTCTCTAGGTTTAGTTCTCAGTCTTGTTTCCAGCACCGTTATTTAATTGGCTACATCCTAAATAAAGGATTTTACTTTTTCAATCGCTCCTGCTTCGTGTCATCTGGTATTCTGCATCTTGGGTCCTACTTCTCCTCCTCTGAACCTGACAGCCGGCGACCCAGCAGAGCCCAGGGGACTCAGATCCACCCCAGGCAGCCACCGGGATTAATCAGGCAGACTCCAAAAATCTTAAACCCTCTGACCCGGGAGCCGCAAACACTCAGGCAGACCAAGGCACCACAGTCCACACCAAATGCGACAGGGGGAGGGCAGGCGAAGATGTGTGGTAGCACAAGAAGTTCCAGGAGAGGGGAGGAGTCCAAGACCCCACCTGACATATACAGCCATACACAGACAGTCACACACTCTCTCCCTCATGCGTACACATACACAAAAATGAATGCTAGACACCCACTCAAGCTCCCCATACACCCCCTATTCACTCTGGTCCCGGTACTGCTGCACAATGGGTAGAACCATCACCGGTTCCCAGAGTTCGCCCCTTTCTGCTGTGGTGATGATGAGCAGGCACCCCCGCCCAATGCTGAGCAAAGCAACCCGCCACCCCAGACCCCAACCAGATTGCCAGCTCCCCCTCCTAGCCTCCAGCCCCGGGAAGCCAAGCGACAACAAAGGTGTACTAAGATCCCAAGTCTCCCTCCGCCTGCTCCAATACAGTGTTAGTGCGTGTTGATGAGGTGCATTCCATTACAATAAAATATCTAAAAGCTACTCAAATCACCAAAATTGTAATAAAAAACATAAATAACTCATACTGGGTCAAAAGCCAATGTCCAGTCAGTTCACAAATTAAACTTTTTGTGCTTTTGTGATTTTTTAATCATTGTGTAATTTATAAAGCAATTTTTTAGTTTTGCTTCCAGCGTGTCGTTCTGCACCAGAGTTGTATTAAACATCCCCCATGGTGCCTCAAAGGAGAATAATTCAAACAATTCAAGATGTGTTTAAATAATGAAGTTGAGAGGACTTTTTTTACTTGTGCTTGCACGCTCAAGGATGAAGAATAGCCTTGTTCAACTTTAACAGATCTCACCTTGAGGAATTGCCAACTACTTTATATTTAACAATTTTCTATTTAACGAACCTTTCATTCTAATGATGCTCAGCATGCAAACGTGCAATTATTGTAAAATGAACAATGAAAAGTTGATAAAATTACAAATAAAATTAATTAAAATAATTTGCTGTTATTTTAGCGTTTTTAGAGACACTTTTGGATTTATTTTAGATTTATTGCAAAGTTATTCAGATTCAAACTGAAACTTTGTTTCTCGAGGTCGCAAGTATAACTGGATGGTAGAATCAGAAGCTGTTTGTTGTTTTGTTGAATTTAGAATTAGAATTTGTTTTAAATATGCATGTAAAAACACACCTTCCTAAAGAAAAGTCCAAAACATTTTCATTTTTACAGCCAGAACAACTTTTTTTTAGCAGATGCAGTGTCTAAATCAGCTTCTGTCAGATTGTCTGAGACATCGCAGTGATGAATTGAAAAATTTTAAAACAGCAAATAAAGAATAAAGATATGCAGCATATAGCAATGACGGGGTCAACTTCCAGTGGTGGCGAGTTGCTGGTTTGATGATGCATCTGAAGCAGCTGGATGAAATCAAAGGTGCACAGATAGATACTGTCTGCTTAGGTTCGACTACCCACACTGAACTAATTGCAGGACTTAAAAGAGAAAAAGACATGCCGTAACAAATTTAAAGGCAAGAAAACCAAAATGCATCCGTTAAAAATTCATTTTGAGGTGGAAAATTGATCAATATTTTAAAGAGGAAGTCACCCCTAACACAGAGTCTAACTCCACTCCCATTTCCTGTTTGAAAAATGTGCCAGAAGGAGGTGTTGCCTGGCAGACCGAGAGGGCGGAGCCGCAAACAAATACGCACACACAGTCTCACAGCAGCATTGTAACATCAAATGGTACCAGCTAACCTCATAGGGTACCTTTAACCAAGTAGCGATGGCAGATTTAAATTCTAATGTAGTGCAGAGTTTTTACCTGAAGAGGGCGCAACATTGACAGTTTTAGGCAGAATATTTAAATTTTAACAAAGATGCACTAAAGTCCCAAATTATTGACTCCACATGTCTACAGCATGATTAGAAACTCATTTCTATAGTTTATCAGCAAAATATATATATATTTTTTGTACATTTTTGCAAATGGTGCCCAACGTTTTGACTTGAGGACAAAAAATCTAAACTTTTTACAAGCCTGACTGGTTCCCTTCCATCGGTTTTATGTCCAATCCGTTGCATTCAGCTGCCGCTATTTAGTAAAACAATGAAACAGTGTCAAAATTTCATTCCAAAAGTCCAAATTACATTGAATGAAATGAAACATCTTACTGAAATGTTACCTACATTTTACAGCAGAGTCATTAAGGTGGAGATGCTACTGAACCAACCTTTCTGAAGCTCTGCTTGAAGTTGTCGGACAGAAAGCCATAGAGCAGCGGGTTTGCACAGGAGTTGCCGTAAGACAGTATGACGGCAAAGAAGTAGATGCCAGCGGTGATGCTGGACTCAGGGATGATGACCACCAGGTTGACCATGTTGATGATGAAGAATGGCAGCCAGCAGAGCACAAAGACCACCACGATGACTACAACCATCCGAGTCACCTTCTGCTCTGAACGCCTGCGTTTGGTGAAGCCAACTCGAGCGCTGGAGGACTTCACCTGCAAGGCAAACACACCAGAAGTGTTTGAGACACTTCAATGAGCAAAGAATGAATTTATCCAGGAGTCGTCAGTCTCTCGCTCACCTTAACAACAATGAGGAGGTAACAGAGGCAGATGATGAGCAGAGGTCCAACAAAGCCCACCATGGCTGTGTAGATGATGAAGGCTGTGGACCACACGTTATTTGGTTCTGGCCAGATCATGTTGCAGGAGTTAAATGTGTCCTAGAAGTAGATTGTGAATGACATAAATTATTAACCATTTAAAGGCAACAACATATGCACCTTTGCATTGTTTTATGCTGCCATGTGGGTCTCTGTGCCTCTGTAAACACTCCAAGTATTAATAAAACCACCCATCTGGTTTCAATCTGTGTTTGGTTTTAGGAAATATGCACCTAAAAAAAGCCAAGTCAAAAGTCCCATTTGTGATGTCACATATGGAGAAATTAGAATAGAACCACCTTTTGTGTGCTAAAAAGATCTGCTACTGAAGGAACTCTACTCTGAGCCCCTGGATCTCATAGCTTCTCAACTTATAGTAGCCTAAGTGGGCAATAGGTGAGTGTGGCCAGCTTGAGCTTTTCAAAGGGGTTGGAATGAAGGCAGCTGAACTTCTTAAGTTTCATTCGAACCCCTTTGGATTCCCATGACCTGCGAGAGCTTTCGCCAGCACCAGCTTGTTTTCTGAAACAGCTCCTTCTGGAAGGTACTGAAACTGTCAAAAGTAAAACTGCTGAAATTGCTTCATTTGAGAGGGACTTAGTGGAAATAACTTCACAAACCTGTTTTGTAATGACCATATAATTACAACTTAAGACAAAAGGTCATAAAATGACCCATTCAAAGCCAAAATAAAATAACAGTTTGTGAAATCATTGACTACTATGTTAATGAACTATCATAATAGTTTGTTTTATTATATTAAGTAATTATTCAGTGACACAAACGTGGCTGCATATTACTGGAGGACTAGAGCAGCTGAAAATAAAAAGAATTCTGACTTTAATTTCAGAATTTAAATTTTTCCTCAGAAGTCAAAATCAGACTTTTGAGAAAAAAAGGTCAGAAGTCTTTTTTTTTTTTTTTTTGTCCAGTGGACCAATCCTCCTCCGTATAGATGGTACCTGGACATCAGAGAAGATGACCACCGGCAGGACCACAACGAAGGACACAGCCCAGACCGCTGCGCTCACCACCTTGGCCACGCGGGGGTGTCTCCACTTGGTGCTGCGGATCGGATGGACTACCGCCAGATAACGATCCATGGACATGACGGTGAGACAGAAGATGGACGTGAACTGGTTCATGGAGTCTGCGGTCATGACCACGCGGCAGAGAAAGGAACCGAAGGGCCAATAAGAGAGGACATTCTGCGTGGTGAGGAAGGGCAGCCCGAGGATGTAGAGCTCGTCGGCCACGGCCAGGTTCAGGATGTAGATGTTGGTGACGGTTTTCATCTTGGCGTAGCGCAGAACCACGTAGATGACCAACGTGTTTCCGGTAAGACCCACCAAGAAGACGGTGAAGGAGATGACCGCGGTCATCAGGGTGCTGCTGCCCTGAAAGGGGACGCTCTGAGCGGACACGTTGGAGATGTTCGACAGGTGAGGGTAAAAAAACAGAAAAGGTGGACCAGTGAGTCCAGAGGAGTTGAGTTCTGATGGCAGGGGAGACCAGTTCAGGTCCAGAAGATCCATTATGTATAGTCCACATGCAGGTGTTGTTCCTCTGGGTTTGGAATTACTTCTTTACGCGCTTACTTTGGAATGAAAAGTCCGCAGCTCGATGAGAAAGTTGAACAGATTTTATATTTATCAATAAACAAACAAAATAAATAAACAATAATTGAAGCTCAGAACTTAGAATAACATATTTATGCCACCTCCTGAAAACGCATGATCTCCAAAAGGATCCAATGTTGCGCGCAAGCACAGCTTCACATTTAATAATCAAACTCCAGGCTGATGACCCATTTTTAGACCCACTTAACTTTTATTAACACTTATTATTAAAATGCTTTATTATTTTTTCCTACACCAAGTTCGCACACCAAAGCTTTGCGCGCGTCAAGCATGGCACAGCTTTTACGCACAGATGACCCTCCCACGGTAATAACTTAGAAATGTAGCATACAGAAATGTTTCACACATTATACAACTGGATGACGTTTAACTTTTCGTGATCAGAGAAAACATCAATAAATCAAATCAAGATTAGGCTTACTCTGACAAGAGGTGAAAAGTCCAAATGGTTAGTTACAAACAAGCTGATCCCCGTTTGGACACCAGGTTGTAAAATCTTTTTATTTCGTCCATAAACAGACGGAAATTGCTGGGATGTGGTCGCTGTCCGTGGTGCTGAGCAGCTAAACGTGTCACCAGCAGGTCTGCTGGTTTTCTCGTCTTCGTGCCCAAATGATTCCTCTCTGCTGATATGATTTGGAGAGAGAGAGAGAGAGAGAGAGAGAGAGAGAGAGAGAGAGAGAGAGAGAGAGAGAGAGAGAGAGAGAGAGAGAGAGAGAGAGAGAGAGAGAGAGAGAGAGAGAGAGAGAGAGAGAGAGAGAGAGAGAGAGAGAGAGAGAGAGAGAGAGAGAGAGAGAGAGAGAGAGAGAGGTCCCAGTACGGTAATTGTGTTGCCAAAACTCATCATTTAAATAGTTTATTTACTTTACATAAACAAAATGCAGTAAACAAAATCCAAGACGATGTTCAAATGAGATTTACAAAGGTTATTTTATTTTTAGATCGTCCCATCCTCATCAAACCACTTGTCCTTAAAGAGACAATGTGTAGTTTGTCATAATCTCTGGAAACAGCCAGATTATTAAAAATTAATTAAAAGTTGTCCAGTTGTTGAAAAATGTTAGTCTCTTTGTTACATATAACAATAAAAAGTGGGTCTAAAATACATGGGAGCAGGTCTAAGTCTCTAGGCAATGCCATATTGGACACTGTTTCCTTCTACGGGAGCCCATGAGGACAAAATGCTATTACAAAAATTTTGCCAATCATAAACGTTGTTTCACACCTCTTCACTCATTGTCATTTTGCTACAGGCTGAACGATCTGATGAAGTACTTTGACAACCCTGTGGCTGACAAGGAAATCTGTTTCAGTGTTACGGTAATGTCCATCCTTGATTGAGATGTTAGTCTGTTTTGTGATTATTTCACTGTAAAATTTGTTTTAATTGCACCGTTAATAAGACAATAGAAAAGTTTGATTGTTTTCAGGCAGCAAGTTTTAAATTTAACCGCTTATGGCAATAAAAGCTAAAAATTAATTACCTTGAGAATTTTACAATGTTCTCAGTGCTTCTCTGTAAAATTATTATTACAACATTAAAACATGCCAGCCGAGTGTCCATTACCAGATTTTACAGGCTTGATATTCAGACGGCATGAGACGAGACCTTGAAGTTATTTGCCTTTGGTTTGATTCTGACTCAGTCTTTGTGCAGACTACTGCTCTAGTGATGCAGCACAACTGATAAATGAAAACGAGTTTGGGTACAAATTGGTGGCACTCATAAATTTAGAAAAATTTCAAACAAATTTGGCCTTTTAGCTACAGCTTTTTCACTTTTTACTCCCTCCAGGGCTTTTTAAAATTATATTTAACAGACACACACACACACACACACACACACACACACACATACACGCACGCACGCACACACACACACACACACACACACACACACACACAGATAAGGAGAATTGGAGTTAAGTTAATGTGTGAATGACTGTCCATGTGTGTCCCTGTGATAGACAGGTGACCTGTCCCTTGTGTCCCTTGCCAATTGGACAATACCTGCTTAAGTTAGTTTAGTTGGATGATGGATATACATATATACACATATATACATACATATATATATATGTGTGTATATATACATACATATATATATATATATGTGTGTATATATATATATATATATATATATATATATAAACATGATTTCATGCCATCAGAACTAAAGACGTGACCACAGTAAATGTTAAAATAACTGCTAAGTAATCCAAAGAACTCAATGTTTCCCAGTGCTGCAGATCTCCTGGTCCTTTCATCTTCACAAGATGATGTGGTGGCTCTGTTGTCATGGAAGAATGGATTACACATTTATCAACTATCAAGCAATAAGGTGGGCAGCAGAAAAAAACAAGGTTACAGAACACCTAGATATCATCTCTCTGCATCTTACTGGTCTGAATGCAGCTCATAACCGACTCTGATGCTTTGGCAGCTGCTGGATACGAGATATGAAAGAAAGATGACTCTGAAATATGGGAAACAGAGAAGTGATTATCTTTGACTCCTTGCTGTTGCATAAAACCATGAATTTGACTGTTTGTAAAGGCAACAAAGGTGTGTACACACATGCACACACACACACGTAACACAGTTTGTAATCAGGACTGTTTTGCAGCCATCCCCACTCCTCTTCTCCACATCATTATTTATCTGTTACTCTCAGCTGAGAGAATTTATCAGGAAGGTTTCAGCCCATCCTTCTCTCAGCTCACACACCTGCTGCATCTCTTCCAACCTTAATCGTCTCCGTTCTTTCGTCTAAAGCATTTATAGTTTTGAAACTCATCCTCTTCTCTAAAGCTGTTGACTTTTTGTTTATTGACGTAGGGAATAAAACAATCACACAACACAAATGCTCCACAGCCACAAGAGGATCGAGGACAAGATGTTAATGATGGAAAGTACATGTCCCAGATAATCAAAAACATCTTTTCACTTTCACCCAAAAAGCAGCAAGGGGAAATGTTGGTAAACCAGTAATAAAAGGAGGAAGAGACAGATTTTGATTTAGACATTTTAATGTGACACACAGATTGCAGTACAGTTCTTTTTTAAAAGACTCATTCACAGAAATATGAAAAATCATTAAGTGATTGGAAGAATGGTTTTCATATGTGTGAAACCTGAGTTGATACCCAATGCAGATGATACCCAGGTATACATCCTCTGTAACAGAGGCCACCATCAATCACTGAAATCTCTCTCTGAATGTCTTGGTGAGGTTAGACAATGGATGTTCTTTAACTTCCTTCTTTTCAATGAAAAGAAGACGGAGATTCTGGTTTCTGGTCCTAGTGATTCATCTGGAGACTGTGAAGCTGACTTTGGTCTACTTGCCCATTTTTTAAAACATAATGTGACATCCCTGGGTGTTGTATTGGGCAGGGATCTTATTTTGGACTGGCAAATCAGTGCAGTGACTAAATCTAGTATCTATCAACTGAGCAAGAGGTAAAGAACTTGCTATCAAAGCAAGAGTTTGAGGCAGTAATTCATGCTTTTATTTCATCAAGACTTGATTACTGTAATTTATTGTACTTGGGTGTTTCCAAGTCTCATCTCTCGTTATCAGTTGGTACTCACTGGGATGAGAAGGATGGAGCATTTGACTCCCGTTTTGGATTCACTGCACTGGTCACCTGTTCATTTTAGAATCCAGTTTAAGGTCTTTTTAAGGGCATCCAAGTCTCTGCACGGTCTTGCTCTCTGAGCTATTGGTTCTTCGCTTCCCTTCACGGTGTTAGAGGTTAGCTGTACAAAAAGAGATATGTGATTTAAGGTTAGGGTTTGTGATAGGGGTAAATATGTTGGATGCATTGGTCTTTTGTTTTTAAATCAGAACTTATGATTCAGCAATGCAATGCACAGCTACAGGCTAAACTCTCCCAGAGTTATCACCAGGACCAATTTGGTATGCCACCCCAAAATCTTTACTGGTCCCCGTTAAGAAAATCTTCTGGGGGCGCTACTGTCTACACCACGTGTCAGACACAAGGTCCGCGGAGCATTTTTATGTGGCCCCTGAGATAAATATCAAAAATATATTAAAACTGACCCGCTGGCCAATTTCACCGCAAAGACTACAACTCCCATGATGCTTTGCGGTGTTAGCATGGAGCCGAAGCGCCCCCTCCTTTGTGTTTTTTCCAGCGTCTGCTGCCGGTCTGCAGCTCCGCTGTCTCGGACAAACTAAACACTCCTCTTGTCATGTACCTGGGCAGAGGTGAGTCACACCATCTCACTCTAATCAGTATTGAGCTGATTTTCCACAGGTGGGGTGCAGAGGGAGCGGCAGCTGCAGGAGATTTCCAAATCAGGGACGCGGGTTTAAAAGGAGGATGGAGACACCTCACTATGCCGGATGATTGCACCAGTTTAGGATCCTCACACCACCTGCTCCACCCTTGCTGTCTACGAACTCTGGATTCCATACACCACATCCCATCCTCCTCCGTTGTTCCTGTTTGGTTTCCCTCTGCTACCTCACCCATCCCGGATCGCTCACCCTCTGCCCAGCGCTCACCTCGGCTTCTCCTCCTCTCTCGTTCATCCCGAACGCTACACGGACTTGAGCTGCACCGCTCACTCCCACAGGACTTTCCCTGTGCTATTTTTGTTCCCGTTTTCATAATAAAGAACTTTACTTTACCTAATCTGCCCGATGAGAAATGATTCTGCATGTCTTGGGTTAGGCACTTACCTCGAGTCATGACAGAATCATCTGGCCAACAATCTAACCCAGCGGAATCTGCACTCGCTGATCTGGCTATCCGGATGTCACAGCAGGAGCAAACGCTTCCCGTCCTTATGAAGCAGCTTAACATCGCCAACCAGCGTTACCAACGCTTGGAGACCACCCTCCAGCAGCTTCATGAGCAACTCTCCTTTCCAGCCTTTGCTTCAGTCCTTGCTCCAGCGACAACCACCGCTCTGGCGTCCGGAACGGAACCACCTGCTCACGCCTTGGGAGGAATGGTTCCACCCGGACCGGAAGTGCTTGGTCCTCCGGAAGTCACCCACTTCCGCTCGGCTCCACCTCGGCAATGTCCGACCTTCTCTGGTGAGTTCGAGGACTGTTTTGGGTTCTTGCTTCATTGCCGCCTCGCGTTTGAAGACTCTCTGACATCTTTTCCAACAGACTCTATGAAGATCTCTTTTATTGTGGGACTACTGAGAGGCAAGGCACTTAGGTGGGCGGAGGCCAAGAGCAGAAATCCTAGTTTCCTGTCTGGTTCATACTCTGATTTCCTGAAGGATTTTAAACTGACTTTTTGTAACTCTGAAACCACCACTGACATCAGAAAGAGACTGTTGCACCTCTCGCAGGGACGGAGGACAGTGGCGGACTTGTCCCTGGAATTTAGGACCCTGGCTGCGATGATGTCATGGGGGGATGATGCACTTAAGGCGGCCTTCATCGAGGCTTTGAATGACCGGATTAAGAACCAGCTGGCTCTGTGCCCCGAGCCACCCACTTTGGATGGATTGAGTTCGTTGTCCATTTCTATTGACAAGAGACATCGGGAGCTACAGAAGTCATCAGCAAGGGACCTGTCACCACCGCCTGTTCATCGCTCATCC